TTTAGTGAAATGAAATATAAAAGTTTGAACAAACTAGTTTATCCTTATCGCGAAACAAATAGACACGGACATACAGAGATGTGAATAGAGCACCTGATGTCGAATCGGTAGCGAAGTAAATTCAATCTGCATTTAAACTGTATAAGAATGAGGCCGAGATATCGGAGAGAAGAAAAATTTCCATCGAATGAACAATTGAATGGTCTTCAATCACTAATTCGAATAATTTCACGCCTGAGAATATTGTCTATGTCTCTGGCATTGTCTCTGTTCTTTGTTTACTGGTAAAAGAATCCAAGTCATTTCAATGAACTATTTTTTATAACTCAATTTTCTTTTCATTCACCAGACTTTAATCACATTTTTCTTGAGATTCTATTTTTTTTCCATTTCTATTAATCATTTAAATTTAAATAATTTCTTATCACTTTCTGCTAAACAATTTATTTCAATTCTTGTGATTCAATTGTATTGCAATCATTAATGATTGTCAGCGGTTAGATAGAACTCTTTTTATTTCATTTAAATAAAGGTGTCACTTTGGAAAATAGTGGAGAATAAAAAATAATTTTCAAGCATTTAGTTGGTATTATTCTATTGAGAAACCTCATTCCACAGCAGTGTCGGAATGTTTATTAAATTCTCTGGAGATTACTAAACGAATAGGAATGATTGAGAAAATGAGAAGATGTCGGTTTGATAGAAAAAATTTGCAAGTGACCTTATTTCTAATGCATTTGACTTCAAACGATCCTTTTAAGCCATTCGTATCATTTTTATTTTCATTCATTTAATTCCAAAAGTGCATATCCTTCATTCATGGGATTTCATTCTTTCTCCCGAATTCATTTGTACTTTATTTTATCGTGAATACAACTGGGGGGAATTTCCTATTCAAGCTCTATAGAATCGAATTAACATGTAATTGCAAGGTTAAAACAATGAATACATTTCAAAGACTATACTTTTCATGAACTCAAAACTCTTCTCATGAGAAGTTTTGTTGCCATTTGTTTCCGAATTGTTGTAGTGTTTTAAGGGTGGTACCAAATTTCCTCTTTCATTAATCGCTTGGCTTCAAAATATTTCCAAAAAGTATTTAAATCCTAAAGATATTCAATCTCAAGTATTAAATAATTATTTATTAATTTATTATTAAAAAAAATTTATTTTTTATTTCTTAATTATAATATTATTTCAACGAATGAAATATTTTTTGCTAATAATAAAATTAGTTATAATCTTTTAAAGTAAACAATATCTTTTATCGAACACTGAATCAATAGAACAATATTTTTATTTCTTACGAGTCTAATAAAAGAAGCCATACAATTTATTATTACCTATATTTACATTTTATGTAACGAAAGTAGACAAGGAAAAGTTATTACATTTATTTTTAACATCATGCGATAAATTTTCACTCGATTTTTATCCATTTCGAAATGATGTCTCGTATTTATTTATTTAAATATTTCATTCAGACAGTGAATTGGCTTTGAAATAGATTTACTTCTTTGAAATCGACGTTTTGCTTGGATAACGATCGTATCCTCTTCTTCATACATACACAGATATAATACATACATACCTTTTTGCTTCTATATTCGTCTTGTCACGAGTTACTTGACCTACATACCAAAAGCCTATTAACTTTTTCTTGTCTAGCTATTATTCTATTTTCTCTACTGCGCTTCTTTTCTTCATTAATATCTGATATTATCAATCTAAAATATCTTTGAGCTATTGTTTTTTTGCTTTTTATTCCAAAAAATTCCTTGACTTCTTTCAATGGTCTTAGCATTATTAATAAATCCTAGGGGATGTTAAAAAGTTTATTGAATTACTAAGACCTAAATGATCCATTTTTTTTTTAATAATATTCTACAATTTATGACCAACATGATACTTCGAAATTTTTAGTATTAATATTCCTCAAGACCTCCGTGCAGCATAGTTTTTAATATTTCGACAACATGTGCTCGAGATTTGAAAAAATAACTGGGTTACGAACTCTAAAGTTAATAGCTTGAATTTTTATTAATAATAGGCGAATTAGTGCTAAATTGTTTTCGCTATTTTAATCTGTAGTTTATTATTTTTTTTTTTTATTTAACTTCAAAGCCTTTTCTCTACTAATTAATTAAGCTGAAAAAATAATGAACAATTTTCGGGGATGATTTTTTTGTATGGTAATGAAGATTATCAAGATCTCAGTGTATTTTATATTACTCTACTGTCCTTGAGTTTCTATAATTATTTTTATATCCAGAAATGTCCATTTTCTCTGGCATTTTTTCCCTATTATTTAGCTTAAATCAACTCCAGAATCTTTTTAACCCAAAAACAGATTTATTTGAGAAACTATTATCACTAATTCTTTCAAGTATATACTTGCCTTTATAATTCTCATTCTAATCCTTTGAGAGTGTTTTTTTAATCATGCTAGTGTTGACTAAAAAAATTCAACGAGAGGTCTTTTGGAGAACATAAATTTCTCTTCTGTCCAAAGAGATTCAAAGCTTTAAAACTTGATTATTTCCTACTAAAATGATTTTAGCACATTTTTTCGTAACTCTTTGAAACCTTGATAGTCAAGATTATCACCAGAGGTGGTGGCATTGTCTAAAAGTAATATTGATCTGAAAGAAGGTTAAAATATTTTTTAAGAAATAGATCATTTTCAAGGTGATCTAATTACATCTCATTGTCGAGAATTTTTAGTATTTTAAGATAAAAATAACTTTCTTTTATTTTAAAAATGAACTATAGAAAGCTGTGAAAGATTACTGTCATGAGAAAAATGGATTTTAAATTGCACCATTCATTCTTTTAATTGATAAATTGAAGATCCAAAAAATTGTCCAAATAACTTTCACTGTGATGGTAGTTGCACCTTACTCTCTTACTTATCTTCCATCTATTGTTCCTTCTGCCTGCCTTTTTACAATGAAAGAAAAATATCATGGCTCGTGGAAATCATTTGTCAACGGATATATTTCAATGTGTACAGACCGCATTGTCGATAAAACTATTGTCCCATTTTTTTCTCTCTGTTTTTCTTTATTTTTTTTTTTTCAATGTCTCCTCGAGGAATATCAGAGGTTTTACTTTGATCAATAACAACAACCAACATATCTACTATACTTCATCAATAGACTACCTTGCCCCTTGACAAACATTTGTTTTTCGATCTTATGGCAACTGAAAATAATAAATTGATACATAGAACAAATAATAATACCAACAGGAATTTTTTAATAATACGGTATCAGCAATGAGCTAGAAAGAAATATAGATTTCAACGGAAGCCGATTTCATTCAATAGTTGATCCGGAGTTTGATGAAATTTAATAAAAAAAAATACATATATTCCCAACGTAGAGTAGTTTTTTTTTATTACAAATCAACTGTAAATGAGCTTTACTCAAAAAATATACTTTATTTTTTTTTCACTGATTTAATTTATATTTTTCAAGTTAATTAAATAAAAAGGATTAATTTTTTATTATTCTTTTGAATAAATAATTTTTTCAAATTCTATTATTTTCACTAATAACAACAATAAAATTGAAAACAAGTATCACTATATATTCTAGTAGAAGGTTATTTTTTATTTTCGCGACACTTGTACTGATGTGTCTCCCCCTTCTCCAAGAATTGATCTAGTTGCTAATGATAAACCTTCCAAGGGCAAAGCCGTTGGGATTTGCAAACTTACTTAAAAGTCATTGAACAAACGAGGTCGAGAAGCAAGGTTGTCATTGCGAAAGAAAAAATTTTATTTTGTTTAAACAAATAATAGACTGAAGATTTGTTTTTTTTTTTCTTCTAAAGTTTATTTAATACTGTCAAAACATTCTTAAAAATACTTAGTTTTATCTGAATTTACAGCTGTTGTGAACTTAAATCGATATAATATCTTGAATAAAATTCATTCAATTCAACCAACTTTTTCATTCTTCAAAACTACATACAATTTTATCACGTGTACTTTACTAAGTGCGTATCATAAAGTGTTAATAGAGTTAAACAAACTTTCTCACTATCTGAGATATTATGACAGTTGTAGTTAACAATAAGTTTGGCTTATTTGATTTCCCTCTCTATTATCAAGCAAATCAAATCTAAGAGTATGAATTGGTTTTAATAAAATAAGATGTTTGATGTTAATTTATATCTCAACAGTACTTCAAGTAGTATAAGTCAATCAACAAATTCTTTGTGTCAAGAAAAGTTACTTGACATTATTTGAAAATAAATTTTTTAATAAAACACATCAAGTTTTGTTATTTCTTCAGTGATAAACAACATAAAATATTATTCACTTACTAATATTAACTTAACATTAATTAATTACAAGTAATATTTTTTACATTAAAAGAAACTAAGTTCCTTAAGTACATAAATTAAATAAACTGTTCAAGTTATTGTTCTTGAGAATTTATCTTTTGAATAAATGTCTTGCTGGAGGATTTGTATTTTTGATATTAATCTCTATTAAAATCAAGAAAAGTAAGAATGAATTTAGTTTATTAAGTTGCATAAAAGAGAATAGTTACATTAATTAAAAATACAGCAGAAGTCTTTCTGATTCTAATTCTATAAGAACTTCGCAAGAAATCATAAGAATCAGTGATTAATTAAAAATTTTCATAATTAAGTTGTAAGGTAATTTATTAATAATCTGTTTAAATAAAATCACGTATTCATTAGTAAATAGTCATAATTATTCATTCTAAGACGAACAGTATAGACGATTTTAAAGCTTATGAAATAGTAATTAACAAAATGGCGACTAATTCCTCAAGTAAATCCTTTTTTATTCCTAAAAATCCCCCTTTTTTTGTATTAACTTCCCTTTGAAGAGAATTAATCACCCCATTAATTTTAAATATTCGTGTTAGAGAAGTTTTTTTTAAAAATATTCTCTTACAAACTTTTTGTGACAATATTTTTTATTGACATTGCTAAATTTCTATGGTAATGTTCTTTTTCAGGGGCGGTCGGGGGTGAAGGGGGTGACGATGACGATAAGGAAAAGGAAGAAGAGGCCGAGAGGGAAAGACAAGAAGCCATCCGAGAGGCTGAAGAAAGACGTAAGGAAAAACACCGCAAAATGGAAGAGGAAAGGGAAAAAATGCGTCAAGAAATCAGAGATAAGGTCAGAACATAAAAATTTTTCTGTTTCTGATAAAAAAAAAATTTGAGTTTTTTTTTTATCTGTTTTTTAAGTTATGTTTAATGGCATGCTTTTTCTTGTCTTATGTCACTTACTTTTCACGTAAAACTCCTTCTAATTAGTGTGGCAATGAAAATTAAAAGAGAAGAAAAACATCAAAAGAGTGAGAAAACAATATTGCTATAGCTTTGACCATTAATATCCCCAGGAATCCCTTTGACGGTTTTATGTTAGCGTTTAAGTAAATCCGCATCAGAGTTTCTTTGACATCTTTTGTAAAGCCGTATTAAAAAGTCTATAAGTGCTAATATATTTATATGAAAAAAGAAACCAATACTGTTTTGTATTCTTAACATTTTTTTCACTTCTATTCAGCAGTCCAGTAACGTTTTTTTCACTTGACTTTTAAATTTAAAAGTGACTTTTTTCCTTTCTTTTTCATCCATTATGTTACAAAATCCATGATAACTTGACCAAAAAACATTAATTTCCGGTAAAATAAAAATCATTCTATCTCCAAGAATTGATAGAAATGTAAAATTGTTATAAATTAATTAAATATACCAATTATTGAATATTTTAATTCAGGAAATAATTTATTCTTTGCATTCTTTAATTATTATTTTGTTAACTATAATTAATTAAAATCATTCTGACACACAATATAATTATTTTCGATTAAAAATCCCAATTAGATTGAGCAAAAATTGCACCATTTGAACTGATTCGGCAGAAATAAAATATTTATATTCTCACCACGTCGATCGATTTAATTAAACTCTCTTTCGGGGTCACCTGTCGAACAACCCTGTAATGTAAAGGCTGCGGTGACAAGTATACTCATTGAAAATCAATAGTATTTTTTTTTCTTTTTTTTTATTGTGTTCAATTGCATCAGTGCAAGTTATTTGTTGGATTTGTTTATTTGTTTGTAAAACACAATGAAATAATGGGACCCTATTTTTTAAAGTTAAAACCGTTAATAGTTACAAATAAATGCCAACAAAAGTTTCCATACATTTGTATATGAGATTACTGAATGTGGAAAGTGAAAGAGGGGATGCAGATGTCCGCAGTGCGGCGTTCATTGAAAAGAAACTTTCAACGAAATTATCCAGTGACAGCATCGTGTTTGTACTTCCTACTGACATGTCTCCTTTTAGTTGATATTTTATTTTTTTCAAACAATCGACAACATATTCGAAACATTTTTTTCTAATGAATGTGACTTCAAAAGAATTTTCAATAGTTGGACTAACAGAATTAATTCTGTGATGTATCAAGTCTCGCAGGACTGTAGGCTCTGTAGAATAAAAGCTTCTAAATGTATACCAAAAGCACCTCAATTGTTAATTTTTTTGAATTTTTTTTTTAATAAAATACTTTTGGAGCTTATTTTTAATGGTATGCCGTCAAAGAATTTATTAAAAATATGATAAAATACCTTGGAAAGAATTAATATTAAAAAATGTGCGATGTCCAAACAAAGCTTCACTTATTTTTTTTTAGTTTCATTACGAATTCATTTAAGTTAATTGTAACCATTTTGAGATATTATTTTCTGTAAAAATATCATAAAAAGAAATATAAAAGCTAATTATTAAATATTTAATGTGCCACAAAGGTAGAAAGAGAGAGAAAAAAAAAGAATATTTTTCATCAATGTAAAAAGAAAAAAATCTGAAGGAAAAATTTCCTTTTACTTCAATTCAATTTCCACCGATAATAAATGATAATTCTGTAACTTCCTTTTAATACCATAGCAATAAAAAAGCCATGAAGTATTCATTTATCACGGTAATAATGATAAATAAGATCTTCATCTGCTGGAAATATTTCCTTTAGGAAGCTTAAAACCATAAACCCTAAGAAAAAAGACATTGGCGTTCTCTGTATTATATTAAAGCTTTTCCAAAAATATCTTTAACCAAAAGAAAATGATTTAAAGTGATACAATCTACTTAATGGTGTCATCAAAAAATAATAAGATAAATTCATTTTAGCATAGATTGCATATAATTAATAATTTGGTTTAGATGAAAGAGGCCGCCTAGTCTTTCACGCTTGTCCTAATTACATTATAAGCCTATCTATCTATATAAATATATATATATATATATAAAAGATTGTGAAATTAGATTGTAAAAATGTATTAACTAAATGGGAAGAAGATGGAAGCGACAAAAAGAAGAATAATCATGAAACAAAAGAGAAGAAAAAGATGGAAAGAAGACTAAACTTAACTGGGGTCAAATTGACTCTAGTAGGGAGTCCCTGCATTCAATATGGCGACTTCCTAATAGAGTCAGGCTGACTCCTTTTAAGACGCTCACCGTGACTTCTATTTACTTTATCATACTCTTGAATTTTCCTTTTCTCCAGACCCTCAATGGAAACAACAGCAAGATGTTTATTGCAATTAATTAATCCTTTATTAATGAACTCACTGTGATTCTCTTAGACTAATTGAAGCAAAGAAGTCCAGTCCATTATGACCTCTCTTTACCATCAAACCCTGACCCTTTTGGAATAATTAAACTAATCTATATTTATCGTAGACCTATGTTGTAAGTGAGAATTTCGCTTTTAAGATAAAATTCCATTTATTTGAAAGCATCTTTGAAAAATTGTCAATTGTTTGACATCTATATGTGAATAACTCCTAATCATTTTCAAGGAGATAGATAGCACTAGTACAAATGAAGTCAAACCTCATGCAACATGTCAGAGATTGTGGCCTGGCACTGACGTTAATTACTACTTGTCATAGTGAATACGAAAATACTCTTCACTCCAGTACCCACACTTATATTTTTATCTCATGTTGACCTCTCTCAATGACCTTTCTCAATAAATTAAAAATCGATTGCATTACTCTCGGAAAGTAAATTATTCGGAATTTTCACTAATTTTTTTTTTTTCCTGATATATATTCTAGCAATCCAATTAGTCAGATTAACTGGTTCATTTAAGTACCATCTGTTTGTTCACAATTTATTAAATTGACTTCAATGATAATTGTCGATTACACAGGTTGACAGTAATTTTAATGCTTGTAGGGTGGTAATAATTTTGGATTATTTCAATAGACTAATTGAATATGAATTTGTTTAAGCTTTGTTGTGTTTAAAATTTTTGTAAATTTATTTTAATAATTTTTATATATATAATTATGAGTAATAATAATGATAACAATGTTTAATTTCATATAATTAACTTCAATAAAACTGTAATGAAAATTTTAAATCATAAATTAAATTTGTTGGTTCATATTTCATTAAGAGGATTTATTGTTTATCGTAAATCTATTGGAAAATTTGTTAACTTAAAAATTAACTACGATTCACGATAAATTCCATCAATCAGCAAAAAAAGTAATACTCCAAAACATGTACACTCATTTGAAATTTAAATATTGACAATTACTCAGTTTTAACGCATTTCAAAGAAGCTTTTATTGACATTCAATATTATATTAATATAAATGTTGATCATTTTGGCTAATTGAATATTTGAATGTCAAAATCCATGCTCATTTGATAGTAATAATAAATCTAAATATGAAAAAATATCAATTTAAAACTAGTCTTTGATTTTTTTATATTAATATAAATTTTTTTAAACAAATTTTTGATAAATTTAGATAATAGATTGGTATAGGAAAACGATAATCATCGGATGTGAATTAGTGAAAATGTAATAAATAACAGTCATTTTCCACTTATTTAAATAATCCTAAGTATGGTACTGTAAACCACTGGAATTCGATTAATTGCATTAGTTTAATCAGTGAATACATTTAATTTGTCATGTCAACAACATAAATAACTTAGAATTGGACATGTAATGATCATTTTCACTAGGTCCCTACGATCTAAATTGAAATGATTTTATTGAAAAATAACAGCTAATTTATTTCATGTATTTTAATCAACGTAGTTACATTGAATTGTCAATAGTAATCACATGTTTTATCACCAATTTATCCTAGTGACAAGCTATGATGAATACTGTTCTCTGCACAAATGACTATGTGAAAATGATGGAAAATGATTTATAGATTTTCAATATTTGTTTAGATAACTTCCTCACATACTGGATAAGATAAAAATAAAGAAAGTTTTTAAGAAAAGTTGAAAATATTATTTTTACATTAGGGAATACATACATGTTAGAACATTTATGCACTATAAAATGCGCATTTATTTAGATAAATTATTAGGTTCAACAGATAAAAAAACTGATAGAAAAATTATTATAATATAAAATTAAAATTATTTATACATTTTTTAAAATTTAAATGCATGTTAACTGAATGTGATTTTTATATTTTTATCATCATTAACTTTTCAACTTGCTAAAAAGACTTTATTTATCTTACACTAAAAATTAGTGTCTTAATTATTTTAATGAGATGCAGACCTGATGGCTTTTAAATTGAACTTAAAAAAAAAACAACTTGGAAACAAATTTGTTTTAAAAATAGCCAAGCATAATTTTATTCATAATAGAAATGTATAGAGTGAATATTTACTAGAAACATTTGTATGTTAACGGTCAATTTCTGAATATTGTGATGCTCATCCAAACACAATGCAAAGCTGATACTGATTTTGTGCACAATAGAACCTCTTTATCCTCATTGAATTTTCGGTAAGAAATTTTCTAAATTCCCTTAACCCTACAATGGCACTTTCGAGGAAGTTTCAAGATGGTACTCTCGTCTACGTTGTTTAGAACTCAAGTATAATTACCGAGAACATTAAGGTGTATTTTTGTAACATAATAATTGAAAACTACATGAAAAAAACAAACTTTTAATGACTAGATAATTTTTATTATTTTTTTTCTGTTAATTTTATTATAAAAATATATATCTATATATTTACCTTTTTGTATTATTTATTTTTCAGTATAACATAAAAAAACGTGAAGAAGTACAAGAATTAACACAAGAAGAACCAAATCCATTGATGCGTAAAAAAAAGACACCGGAAGAATTGGCGGCCGAAGCTGAAGCAGAAGAACAAGACGACTTTACGAGTGAGTATTTGATAAAGAATTAAATGTTTTGACTTGTTAAATGTTTATTATAATTTATTTGTCAATGTCTTATTGTCATTTACATGTATTTTAGAATTAAAACAAACGCTGGAGACTCATGTCACGGAGCTCAAAACGCAGATTGAAAGCAAGTGCAATTTGCAATGAGTAATTAGTCGAATGCTAGTAATCGATAGGTCATAGATAAAACATGCCGATTGCTGGCTTATCATAAGATCATATCTAAGCAGCTTGAGATAATTTTTTCAACTGCTAAGATCATCATTAATACGCTCGATTAATTACAGTTAATGTAAATTCGAACTAGAAAAAAAATGCACCATCGTCCAATTTACGAGGAAGAAACGGAGAAGATTTTAATAAGTTAAAGCAAACAAAAAAAAAATAAAAAGTATAATTTATTAATCGTAAAAATTAATAGAAAAGTAGCTTAAAGATTTGTGAAGCCTTTTATGATTTAAAATCGTTGAAAAGGATAAGGAAATAGGAGAATCACAATGAAAGCTGTGCCATGTATTGACCAACAGAGGAACTACATTTAATTTCCTTTGCTCTACACGCATTGACACAATCTTGTATCTTGATCACGCAAAATTAATTTGAGAGAAAAAAAAAAATAACAACATGTTCTTGATGGTTTTTAGTAACCAGCATCGAAGGGACTCATTTCCTCGTTATTAATATATAAAACAACGAGGAAAAAGTATTAAAAAAACATTAAGTTTATAGTAAATTATTATTACTAGTAACCTATTAATTATTATAATAGTAAAAGTTATGTAGTTGTTGAACCGTTCAACGGCTGTTTGAATATTGAACGATTGTTTGATAAATAATAATCAGTGATAAATAATTTTAATGAGGAAAAATGTAATAAAAAATATAAAAAAATGGTAAAAATTCAAAAAAAGTAGCTAGAGACACAGGTATTTTAAGATCCAAGAGCTTTGCGCATAGTGAATTTATTTGTTTTTACAGTCGTGGTCAAAATTATTTATATTATTTTTATAATTAAAAATATTATCATTTATTTATTATTATTTTTTTCATGAATATTAATTATTAGTCTTAAGTAATGATATACAAAAATAATTTCCTACTCGAAAATTAATAAGATGAAATTTTCATAAAATTATAAAACGAGTTGTAAACATTGGAAATGAATGATGAGTATTTTTTTTATAAAAAATAAAAGCTAAACAACGTCGCCAATGAATACTGTATGAGTGATGATGAAAAAGCGTCTTAAGGACAGTTTAGATTACCTTAATTATTTATATAAGCAATACATGACATAGAAGAAGCAAAGTTTATTTAAACATCAGTGGAATTTATTCAGATAAATAAAAAATTTTCTCTAAAAAAATAATAATAATAATAAAAAGTAAAAGACAATGAAAATTCCACTTGTACTTGAAGCTATATTAAAATAATTCCTTCATTTTGACCAAGTCTGTGTTAGCATTTTCACGGTTAAAAAAGAAAAGAAATAAGAATAATAAAAATAATAATAAGAGCCTCATTATGAGCAAAACTCTGGAATTTTCAGCCTGTATTTTTAGCTGACACGCACGTCGAGGCACTTGTTAAAGTTATTAAAAAATAGTTTCATGTTGAACTGGTGAATACGCGTTTACTTCCGTGTAAAAAAATATATAGGGAAGAAACACTGACCACCAAGCGGATGATGCATGCCTTATATATCTTAAAATATAATAAAAAAAAATACACTATTAATTATTAATTAAATTTTGAAATGATTAAATGATGATGACGATGATTATTAGAAATTATGCCCTAAAGAAATATAAAACGCGTCGAATGTTTTTTTGCCTGCCAAAATAAAAAATAAGAGGAAAATAAGGAAACAGATGACGAGAGAAGGAGCGAGAGAGAGAAAGAAAAGATGGGTGACTGTTAATTACAGTGTGTGGTGCTATTTGTGTTTTACGAATGAATGTAGGAAAACATTTTCTTGTATAAATGATTGACCAAATGAATTCCAAATTGTTACTAATGTTTGCTAATATTTTCTAAACCTCCATCAATCGCACGCAATCATAGTTTTATTTATTCTTGTCATTTTCATTGTTCATCTAGTTATCATGTCATTACGCAGCTGTTTAAAAGTCATTTTGTATTCACGAGATCACTGTTTAGAAATAAATAAATATCTAAAATAAACATTTTTTCACTTTTAAATAATAGTCAATTTTTTTATTGATTCTACTTTGAAACATATACCTTACTATTCAATTAAGACTATTGGGAAAGCATTTTAAGCTCCAAGTTTCTTTTCTTTTTTCTCTATAAAAGAAATCTCTTTGAATAATTTAATCTTCTTAATTTTTTATCGTACGATAAAAGGGAGGAAAGATGAATTTGTCAAATTGAAATCAAATGTTTCAGTAATTGTGAAAAGTAATGAAAAAATCGGTTGATAAATTATATTAAAGGCTTTTCAAAGACTAAATTTCTTATTCTATTCTACTCTCCACTTTCTTAAGTAATACTTTTATGATCATAGCTACTTGGTAGTGATACTAATGAATTTTTTCTTTTCCTTATTCAACACTAAAAGAAATACTTGAATCTATTTTTGACTTCTCTTAAAAAGTATTTAATATTCATTGTGGATGATGATAACTTTTAAACGGCAGTGTACATGAATAACATCTTGATTAATGTCTAGTTTAGACGGAACTGCATCCTCGAATCGGCGCGTCTCTAGTTTTTAGTAGATTCTAATCAAAAACATAACATCTTGTAATCTTAAATAACAATTAATCCTACCCATTTGAACATTTTAAATATCTTTCACTTTCAATCTATCTATTTTTTTATAAAAATTTCATCATTTTAATCAATTATCTTTTCTATCAAATTTTCTATTTTCCTTTTAACTCTTTTGACTTTTTTTTTCTTTCAAAATCCCTCTTTCTCTTCTCTGTTGAACAATTTTTTTCAAATTATTCTCTAATATATCCCAACTCAATTTTCCTCTCTTCTTCTAATATTCCTTCCTCTCCTTTACCACTTTGTTCTTTGTATTCATCATTTTATTTTTTTCTCTTCTCCTCTTTGCCTATTTTTTAACTTTCTCTTCGCATTCCTCTCTCTCTCTCTTTCTCGCTCTCTTTGTGAAAAAATGCATGTAAAGTGTAATCGCTTGTCTGTCAATGTCGCTCTGCTGGTCTGTGTCGCTATTAACACACGTTTTTTCTATTTCTCTAACTCTATCCAACACAACTGTTAAATTTTTCCATTTTATTTGAATTTATTTTGTTACTGACACAACTCAGTTGATTGTGCAGATTTAATTAAATTTATTCTCCAATAAAATTCCTCGAGTCTACAAAGACAACAGAAATAAAAAACAAATAATTATTAACAATTTGAAATTAAATTAATTCAATATTACTCACGTCAATTATTCAGAATAATAAAACAGATAATATTTATTAAACAATACATATTTATATATTTAGACATATAAAAAAAAACAAAAGGAATTGTAAATTTTTTTGTTTTCAATATTCGTTGTTATAATAAATAATTTAATCGTTAAATTAACTAAAACTTTTTTTATTAATATTATTTTCAAATACACACTTCATTTGGAGTTACTCCAAAAAAAAGATAATAATATTATATGTATTCATAAAAAAAAAAAAACAAAACAATCTAATGCCTTTCTAAGATTTTTTTCCAGCTATTAACAAGTACATAAAATAAAAAGAAAAAATAATAAACTTATTCCATTTCTGTAGATTGGAAAAATTCTGCTCATAAATATATTCGCATTCTGATATTTCTTCGTGCATGTCTATAAATGTCTATCAATTTCTCTAAAGAATATTCTTCATAAATGATCAAGACAAATTCTATTTCCGAGTTAAATCCTGCCTAATAGTAGAATTAAACTCATCAAATCTCTTTTATTGACTTTGGAGATGAAAAAATAAAAATAAATCTAAAAGGTGAAATAAATTTTGTCTATATTCTTGTGATCGTATACAGTATGTCTATGTTTAAGGGCTTTCTTTGTACAGCTGTTCACAATATATACTAGAAAAAAAAAGTGTATAAAATCAATGTCTATCTTAACTTCTATCTTAAGCGCCAAAAAAATAAATATATATATATATACACATATATATCGTCAGCGCTGTGTTGCTAAACGCTGTTATTATCAGTATTGCCACATTTTGCAGACATAAATTCACTTTTGCTATTTTTTTTTTACCATTAAATTTATTGAATCTCAAACTAATCCATTCTTCTGAATAAATTCTTTTTAATGAACAAAAGTTTTTCTCTCGTTTTGATAAATTTTATTTTCAGTTCATTAAAAATGAATTTTCCATTTTATTACGATAAAACAACACGATTATAGATTCTTATGATAAAGCCTGATTAATGATGATGATTTTAAAATATGGATATCGATTAGATAACTTGGATATGCATGAATGATAAATCATTTAGTACTGCTAAATATTTGATTGTTCAATTTACCCTGCTATATTTGTAATAATGGATAATATTATGTAATATCACATTTGTTTATTTATTTATTCACAAATACTATTTATGTCATTACATACTGCATCCAAAACAATTTTTTATACTGAAATAATTTTTTATATTCAAACAATCATAATATTTATTTCAGAAAAGTGTTGTTATTATTTTCATAGTTTTTATGCAATTGATAAATTACAATGTATATAGTTTTCAAAGTGTACTTTTGAATGATTAGTCCAATTGTAATCCATCAATTGGCATTATTTATTGTCTTCTAACGTGGCAACACTGATGTTGTAAATGCTGGGTAATGCCGTATGTCGTTGTTGTTTCTCGATATTCAAAATATTGTCAATGTTGATTGCAAACATGAATGTGAAACTTTTTTGTCAATACAAGAAAAAAAAAATATTATCAAAAACAAACAGCATACAAAAAAACTCATAAATCTATATAAAAAATAACTAGCACAACAAAAAGACAACATAATGATGGAATTTAAACTTAAAATCTTATAAAAAAATTAGCATAAAAGTGATCTCGTTAAATAAAATACATTTAAGACGCCATGATTCGAGATTTATAGCAGTCCGTTTAAACATTTATTGTGGCCTAAGAACCAATCGAAATAATCAATTGTTATTGTTTGAAAAAAATAAATAAATAAAAATCAATAAAAATCTTTTTCTCGAACAAACTCAAACTCAAACTACGACCAGGATTTTATAATTATAAGCCTTCAATCGTTAAAATTATTGTTTATCATTTCACTCTTGACCTTTACAATAAACTTTTACGTAAATTTTTTCATTAATGGCCACCCTAAGCTCTTATAAAGCAATGTGGCACGTGATATCGAAAAAAAAAGTTGATAAATA